CAAGTGCCTCTAAAGCCAGAGAGAAGCCTCTTGACGCCTGCCCTGGGTTGTTCTAAGAGGGCATCCTCTCCTTCGGCTGGGATTTGGCCATCTGCTGTGGGTCCGGGATGGGCAGGGAAGGACCCAGGCCACTGATGGCAACAGGAGTGAGGGCCAGTCCAGACAGGCCCCCGTCCCATGTCTCAGTGCAGGTCCAAGGCCAGCACATGAAGGATACCCACATGGAGTCTGCTGCCTCTTCTCTGACTTTGAGGCAGAGGAAAAGGGCAGAGGCCCAGCACTGAGCATGGACTCCGAAGGAAGGGCCTCATCCACGGCACTCATTTGGCTTCCTACGTTTTTTAGCCAAGAATCCTGTATTTAAAAGATGTGTTGTGACAGCATAAAATGCAGAACGTTCATGTGGCCTTGCTCTGTGTGACACAGAGGGGACTGTCCTCAAGATCCCCATCACAGCCCTTGTCAGGATACCCATGCTTATTGGTGGAATGGCTCTGTCCATGGAGACTGGACTAGTTCTCTGGTCCTGTGGTCAGCTTGTGAATGTTCTAGTGCAATGCTGGAGGGGGAAAGGCCAAGCATTGTGCTGTGGGCCCTCAGAGGGAACCTCTAACTTAACCCAGGCCGTGAGAGCTGGGACCTGCCTGTTATCTCTTTCTGTAGGTAGAGACAGGCCTCCAATGTATCTGAATTTTATTTACTCTTTACAAAGTTGAACTAAATTGTAGTTTTCAAGCTATAGCACAAACAAACACAAAACAGCCTCTGAGCAGCCGTGTACTCTGAGGGGCACTATTTGCAAAGCCCTGACCCAGGCTGGCCCCGCCACTAGAGCAAGCAGACCGTCAGCAGGCCCGCGGCTCCCTCCTGCCCGTGGCCGGCATGGCAGGAGCTATAGACCACAGCAGGCCAGACATTACCCCTGAAGCATCCATGACCCTGGGAAGGACAGGCAGAGCACGTGGAAGGAGGACAGTGACTTCTCTGGCTAGTGTTCCCACCGGTCAGCTGGGGAGCAGCTTACCATGCTCCTGATGCCCATGGAGCAGGGACGTCCCCTCAGCGCATCCACACCTGTGGGAGTCTGAGACAGAGTGGGGGTGAGCAGCTGCTTCCCCTGCAGGCACTGCCCCACCAGGAGCCAGACTCATGGGCTTAGCCTCCAGCCAGTGCAGGCCAGGGTCCCAGAGGATGACCCACGCATCATTGCTTCACTTTTATCATGAGGCCTCAAAGCTTCTGTGTTGTTCTCTGACAGGGCTTTTGGCATTCTGCCATTGCCGTGTAAATGGAAAAGTGGGATTTCCCAGTCAGAAACAGCTTGGCTGGTGCCTTTGCAGTGCCCATGGGGGCTGAGTGCCCCCACTGTTTTCTTTGGGAGCCTCTTAAATGGCTCCAGCAGGTGTCTTATCCCGTTCACCATCTCAATGATAAAAGCTAATATTCACAGAGCCAAAGCAGCTTTGATTTCTTTAAGAATGATTAGCAAAACGACGATCCTTGTTAAATCAAAGAATGAATCAGCCACTATTCCATCAGAGGGCTTCCCTTACCTCTGATTTTCCAGCCTGATTTCAAGCAGCCTGATTTTCTAGCCTAATCACGATGAATAAACTTCTGCGTGTTCCAGTGCTATTCCTGGTGCTCTTGGGAAGGGAGGAAATAGATACAGAGACGTTAGCATCCAGACACAGCAACCTCATAGGAACATAGCCATCTCCACACTGCATAAGAGGCCAGGATAGGAGCTCCTACCTCAGCTGGGCCAAAGGCATCCTCCTGGCCCTGCCCTGGAGGGTCCAGGCGAGACCCAGACAACAGTGGGAAATCCTGCCTCACTCCAGGAAAGCGGAGACAGAGACTGAGGCAGCAGATGCCGGGGGCGGAGTGGGGTGCCAGCGGACTGGCAGCCACATGCTAAACAATGGTTGATCTTGGAAAATCTTCCTCTTGAGAGAAGAACAACCACCCATATTATATTTTCTCCAATGCTTTTCCGAAAAGTAGTCATGTTACCCTTCTCAGTTAGATCTATTTGCAAAGCAGCTGACTCTGTTTGAGGCACTGTTGTTTACATGATTGTATAACAGAGGACTCTCAAATCCGGTGGCTTTGGTATAACATGAAAACCATTTATTTAGCTCGAGATCCTGTGGGTCAGTTGGGAAGCTCTTCTGCCCGTCTCTTCTGGGCTCATTCCTGCTCCTGTGGACAGCTGCCCTTTCTTTTGAGGGCTGACTGGGCTAGAGGGACCCCAGCTGGGACATGCCATGGCTTTTATCCTGCAACAGGCTGGCCCAGGCTTGTTCACAGGCAGTGGGTTACAAGAGGCACAGCGGAAGGGCAAGCCTCAGTGGACAAGCACTTTTTAAGCCCTTGCTTGCTTCACATTTGATAATATTCATTGGCCAAAGCAAGTCATGTGACCAAGCCCAGCGTCGCAGAGTGGGGGCACTATCACAGGGTGTGGATGCTGGGATAGCAGAGGTGAGGAGGAAGGAGATGGTGGCCATTTTTGCAATCTACCACTGCGATCTTGCTTGATCTGGACCCCAACCTAGAAAGACATGCCAAGCACATGTTAATTTTATGGAGCCATGCATATGCATATCCCCACTCAATGGTGTGTGGGGCACAAGGCCCAGAGAGGTAAAGGGTGTTGCCGCAGGTCACACAGCAGGCTTGCTTGAAAGACTCTCTCCTAGGTGCCAACCCACTGCCCCAGACCATCTCCCTTGGCCCCCTTTGTGGTGACGCTGGGCCAGGGAGTAGATGAGGTGCCAACCCAGGAGCCAAACCCTGGCTGGGGCCCGACAGACATCCACCAACAGAGACACCACAGGCCCTGGTGTTCACCCTCCCCAGGCGCTGGCCTCGGGAGCCACTGTCTCAGCCCCCCAGCACAGAGTGCAAGCTGCCTGTTTCAACCCAGGGTCTTTAGAAAGTCTTGTGCAATTTTAAAACTTTTCAACGTGAGTAGGTGATATTGTGACAGGGGGAAAGGCCAGTCAGCAAGTATCTGGAGGCAAATTAAAATGTCTCCTCACATCTCCTCTGCCCCCGGTTCCACAGACAACACTTCCCTTGTCCGGCTAGAGAGCCCAATTGCCATTCCTCCTGTCCCTGTGTGCCTTGAGGCTCCGTGTTCTACTACACACAGACATCTGCTTTCCGGGGCCTCAAGTGGCTGTTTCTGTCCCGCCTGCACCTGCCTGCATGTTGGGTTTGCAGGTGCGCAGACTTCTGAGCCAGGAGATCTGGAAGCCAATGGGTCTGGTCTGGCCACACAAGCCCTGTGGGCCCAGGAGGCAGCATTCTGCCAGCAGCACCCCGGTTCCCGTGCACCTGAGCCCAGGCACCTGGCCATCCATCAACACACCCGTCAGCACATCCACACTCATTCTTCCCAGCGATCTGTCGCAGTGAAAGCAGCAGAGGAGGATCCGAGTCTTGAGAGTGACCACCACTCCCTGGTCCTTCTCACTGACAGAAGGCGAGAGGCGGAATGTCAGCTCCGGCCAGGCTGCAAGGAGGGCCAGGAGCAACGACCGTGTGGAAAATTAGTGTCTGAAGAAGAAGGTCAGCACATTTGGATTTGTCCTGTCCTTGAGGCCACAGGGCCTCAGACTATGCATGGAAACAAGTAATGGTGGGCAAGATGTGCGCTGCCTACGGCCCTCACCCCCTTTCCATTCAGATGCTTGACCCCAGCCTGTGTTTCCCAAAATGGACACATGGATCTCTGGAGTCTCAGTGTGAATGGCCCCTGGATCATTTATCCAACCCCCTACTTTTACAAAGGGACACGAAGGCCCAGGACACAGTTACTGCCAGAACAAGACAGATTTGGGATTGGGGGAAACACCTGGGATAGAAGATGAATGGCTCTTCCAACTGGAGAGAGGGGGAGGTCATGGGTTCAGGCTCAGCCTGGTCAGGGAAGCCAGAAACCCAGCCTGCCTGGCTGCAGCTCCTGTGGGCAGAGAAGCAGAGGTGGCCACAGCCTCCGTACCATCTGCTTGGCACAGGGAGGAGCCTCCTGCCTCTCTCCATCGAGGCCCAGAGTTCCAGCCCAGTTGGCTGGCTGGAGTGAAGGGGAGAGAGGGGCCTCCAGATGGTACAAGTGAGCAAGGTGGGGCTAGAAACTGTTTACATTAATGCAGTCTGACCCTAAGCAGGTTGGCAGTGACAGTGATGTCATCCCCAAGGTTTGGGTAGCACTTCTTCCCTGGTTCCTCTCAGGACCCCTCGAGCATCCCACCTTCCAGGGAAATGCCTGTGGTTCTGGGGTAGGCTTTCCACCAGTTGCACAAGGGTCTTCCAGTAGATGCAGATCCCAACGACAGATGGGCAGGAAGCCAGGCAGGCAGCGTTAAGCCAGGGGCCCAAGTTAAGCAAATGCAAGTAACCTCCCACTAGAACAGTGCAAGGGTCACTCCTCCAGGAACCTAGCCCCCTTACCTCCATCAACCAATGATTTCTGAGTTCCCCACTTTGATCCCAAGGTAAGCTAGACTGACAGCGCATGAAAAGAAGACTCACAGGAACATCAGGATGCCTAAGACGGCATCTGTGAACACTAAGCTGTGTAGTTCAGGCAGGGGTTGAAAGGTGTGGAGTTGTGTGCAATCATGGAGCCTCCCTAGAGGAGAGGGGAAGCTGGGCTTTTAATGCAGAAGGCACTTTCCAGTACAGTACGGGGCGGGGGGGGGGGGGGGCAAATTGTCTGTTTATTTAGCTAAAATAACAACTCAGACTGCCAGGGATACTTTGTGTCTGACCACAGTAGGTTCCTAAAATGTGCGGTCTGTAAATAACAGATAGCAAAATGCTTCGTCACTGTGGGGAAGGACACCAGGCACCAGCTGAGTGCCAAGGTCAAGATGTCCAGGTTGGAGGAAGTCTCCTTCTCCTGGGTCTGCTGGTGGACACTAGGTTCTCACGAATCTGGCATTAACCATGCCCATTTTCTCCCTCCCCCTCCCCCTCCCCCTTCACAGGCACTGGCCATAGCTCCGCCACAGACCCGCTCTTGTCTCTGCTTCTTTTGGCTCTGCATAAGCTCCTTCGTCTGCTGCTGGGGCACTGACACACGCGGCCATCCTGGGCACCTCGGCTGGCCCACACGGCCTGCCCTGACCCGGCGTGAGGCACGCATCACCAGATGGACACAGAGAGACTGAGAAGCATGACCAAGTCCACATGGAAAAAATAAATCATATTTTTGGGGAAGTTACACAAATGTAGAACACCTAAAATAATGCATCTAGTTTCCAAATAAGATGGAATTTGGACCATGCGGTATGCATGGGATCAGTGATTTCTCTACTTCAATGTATTTTTCTTTTCTAAACTTTTCCTCCAAGTCTTCATTTTGCACGAACTGTTGAGCAGTTATCTTTAGGATACTATGTAAAAATGTTGGGTCAAAGCCTTTCTGACAAAGCAAAATATTTTTAGTAGATTTTTGTGTTTAGGAATTTTTTATTTACTTTTTTCTTTGGGGGCTTTCCTTTTTTTTATTAAAGTAAATTATTTCTTTTGAGACATTTTGATTAAAAAAAGATACATCTTATCATAATTAAAATTCACTGTCAATAATATTTATTTTTAAATAAAGATTGGAAACAAGGTCAGACACTTGTTTTTAAACTGTATTGTATATTGCTGAAAACAGTTGAATAAAAAACAGCTTTGAAATAACCTCTCTGCAGGCATGTATGAATGTTAAGCCCAGATGCCATGACCTCCTGTTCTTTGATGCCAGCTGCACCCTTGGCTGGATGCAGCCCAGCCTGCAGGACAGCCCCAGGCTCCTAGCCAAGGCCACACAGAGCAGACAGGAATCTTTCCCAGCCTCCACTAGGGACAGAAGACCTCATGGAGCCAGAAGTCAGAGGAACCCCCAGGCTGGGTCCTGAAGGAAAGAAGGTCCTTAGGGAGGGGACCACTTTTTCCCTCTTGATTTAAAGCAATTGTGCTATGCATTTGCCCATGGACAGATGACGTGACACAGCCAGGTGTATCCACTGTTACTGGATTTACTGCTAGTTTGAGGAGGAAATTTGGGGAGAAGATGGAACAGCTCTCACCCTCTCTTCATGCATGAAGAGATGGCTTTGAGCCTCTGAAATACATGTGTATAGGCAGGTGAAACATGTCTTAAAGAAACATACATGACTTGGGGCTGTTATTACTTCCATTATAGGATCACATTAGACAGCCAGGACCCATTGGGTTCATTAATCTAGCCAGTTTTTACGCAAATGTATTTGTCCTTGATGTTGCTCATCTTCCTGCATTCTGTGGCAGGCGGGGCCGTGTAACCAGCTCTGGCCAGTGAGTGGTGAGCAGAAGGGGTATGCCTGACTTCCAGACCCAGGCATTTGACTGCTAGTGCAAGACCCTTCAAAGCTTTCTCTCTCCCTCTGATAGGAAGAGAAGCAGTTTTCAAGACTAAATACCAGCCTAGGTCCTGAGCTTCTGCAGTAAGCAGAGCTCCCTCTCCTGGCCAGAACTGGAAATGCAGCACAAAGGCAAATCAACTTGTGCTGTTTCAAGCCACTGAGCTCATTAGGGCAGCATCCTCCAGCCTACCTCGACTGATTTGGCAAGGTACTGCCTATTTACATGAGAGAAAGCAAAAGTGCATTTGGATGACCCCCCAGTGTGGAGCTGAGGCACCGTGATGCACGTGAGGAGACCACCTCGAGCCTGCTGTTTCTGGTAGATACATTAAGTTGTTCACATTTCATTTATATTGATCAGCACCAATCGAGCTGTAAATGTAATCATTTTGTCTGGTGGAGAGTGATTCTGTCCAGAGGATCATCTCTTTTATAGTTAACTCAATACTGCAGCAGGCTAATGTCATGTTAAATACAGGCCCTGTGTGCTTGAAAAGAAAAAGGCACCAACTGGATGCCAGGTTGAATGGAAACGATGCTCCCGTGATGGGCTAACATTGTGCCAGATCACTCCAGGGACCAGCCTTTTCCCACCCCCAGAGCCAGACCCTCTGCATATATGCCAGCAGCCAAGTTTCTTCCCAGAAGCAACTGGCCCTGGCGTGATGCACTTGGGAATCAGGAGTGGATGTGCTCTGGGGAACTGCTCTCCTGGGCTGCCCAGACTCTGCACAGAGAGGCAGCACCTCACACTCAGAGGAACAAGCCCTTAGGTCTCCTCCTCGGGACCAATGATTTCTAGGAAGGAAGTCATGGGTGAGGGTGAGCTTAACACTCCCCAACAGAGGTAAATGGACTGAAGCCAAGGAGGACCTGGGGTCCATGAGAGACAAAAGCAAATCCCTCCGATGGTGGACCCCCCTGGGCCATGTCCCTGCTGGTTCGGTGCCCTGGATTCAAAGGAAGAAGTGGAGTGTGCACCTGGGCACCCACAAAGCAGATTGATAGGGACATTCAAACACACTCCCTGAGATCCCTCATGCCGCACCCCAACACGGGGACAAAGGATGGGCAAGCTGCATTGAGTTTTATGGGATATATACAAGCCAGGAGGAACAAAAATGGAAACTGAAGCAGTGGACTCACTACCCAAGCCACTTTTTCTTTGAGATTTTGGTCTCAGTCCACAGCAGACAGGGGCTCTGGTATGAAGACAAAGATGAATATTTTAATTTGAGAAGAAGGGACTGTGGGTGATTCAGGAACTCTGGCCCCAGGCTGTGAGGACCTCCCCATTGGCTAGAAGGGATTGCAGAAGAGTGGGACATCAGTGCAAATAACACCAAAATGAATGTGAGGAGGCAGAAGAGGAGAGGAGGGAGGTGACGGCAAGGCAAAGCTCCACACCAAAGGGAGGCTGAGTGAGGGGGTGGAGGGGCTGTGAGGAGGCAGATGGGCCATGAGGGGGACGAGGGGAACGGGCCTGTTGGAGAGAGAGGACTACCCCCCAGACCCAGGGGAGTGCCCTCCACTCTACAGCAGAGATAAGGGCAGCCCCTGGCTGGCAGCACCTCATGGTGCTGACCCTTACATGTCCTCCAGGCAGCAGGCAGCATTTCTAGGTGAGGCTTTGGGGGAAGGACAGGAATCCTGTCAGAGAACTGACAGGAGGTGATGTGACCAGAGGCCGTGGCATTCTGAGTTCAGTTCTAGGTCAACCTCACATTCCTAACTACTGCTCTCACCCAGAAAATAGAGCTCTGACTGATCAAGGGGGGCTGTGGTTAGAGTATAACAAAGTGAGCCATGGGTGAGCTGAGCTCGTGGCTAAGGGGATTCTGACACAGGCAGGCAAGGGTATAATCCCAGCTCATCTCTGCACCGCTTCCCCCATGCAGGCTCATCCCCGTGTCGGATAACATCAGACATCCATGTTGCCAGTGGTTCCGAGGGTTCACCCCCCGCTGTTACTGGATGACAAGTGGCAAGAGGCTGGTGCATCTCTTCCATGTGTGCACACGTCTGTTTAGCAGCCTATGCTTCAGAAGGTTTTTAATTTCTTTCCAGTGAATGACAAAGTGGTGGGAGTGGCCCAGCACTTGGGGGAACTTCAGCCAGCCTGGGCGCACAGGGTTGCTGCTGCCCCTCAGAGCTCCCTGCCCTTCATCAGCCCAAAAGAACCCTTACCAGGGGCCCTCAAATGCATCAAAAACCCATGACCTATAGGAAGGACCCGCCCCCTTTTGTGCCTGCAGACACAACATGAGGCAAAGTCTGAAAACAACACCCATCAGTGACCCCCTTAAAATGACAGCACGGAGCACTAAAAATATATATCATCAGAAAACATGACTTCACACGAAGTCTAAAGAACCATCAACTAACAGAAACCGAACAAAAATCATATTTGTTCCCTGCACTTGATTATTTTAAGGGGCAAATGATAAGTAATACTGTTGTCAATAAGTGATCATCTTAGAATATATGAATGGTATCTTTTAGATTTTGAAGTTGAGTATTTCTTAAATAAGCTCCATAAAAGAGATCAGATGGATAATTTTGACCAAGGATAATGAAGAGTACTTGTTTATCAAGTACATAGGGGTGCCTGAGTGGCTCAGAGGGTTAAGTGTCTTATTCAGCTCAGGTCGTGATCTCACGGTCCCTGAGTTCATTGGGCTCTGTGCTGACAGCTCACTTCCTGGAGCCTGCTTCAGATTCTGTGTCTCCCTCCTCTGCCTGCTCATGCCATTCCCTCTCTCTCTCCCTCTCTCTCTTACAAGTAAATAAGCATTAAAAAACATTTTTTTAGCCACCATAAATAAAGTTAAAAGTGGGGCACATGGGTGGCTCAGTCTGTTGAGAATTTGACTCTTGATTTTGGTTCAGGTCATGATCCAAGGGTTGTGGGATCAAGCCTCGTGTTGGGCTCCACGCTGAGCATGGAGTCTGCTTAAGATTCTCTCTCTCTCTCTCTCTCTCTCTTTCTCTCTCCCTCCCTCCCTCTCTTTCCCTCCACCCCTCTCGCCCACTCACACTCTCTCTGTCTAAAAAAAATAATGAAAAGAAACTTAACAAAATGTAACCAATAAAGGATTAATATCAAGCATGTATGAAGAACTCTCAGGAATCAGTAAGAAAATCACAAATGCTATAATGGGAAAATGGACAGAAGACGTGAACCACAAAAAATATGGCCGGTAAGTATATAAAAGGTGTTCAGCCTCAATAGTGGTAACAGAAATGCAAATCAAGTCCACAATAATTATGTCTACTCAATTACCAGAAATTTGAAAGTCTGACAATACCAAGTGTTAGGATGTGGGTCACATGGTTTCTCATACACTGACTGTGGGGGCATAAAGAGGCGCAACTTCAATGGAAACACTTTACCACTGACTCCCAAGATTGAACTCCACATTTCATGTGGCCCAGCAACTCTGCTCCTAAGTGGCAGAAGCCTTGCTTATATGCACTAGGGAACATGTAAACAAAAATTAATGGCAGCCCCATTCACATAACCTAGAAACAAACAAGTTTGAATAGATAGGAGAATAGATGAATATACTGTAGAATATTCTCGGGATGGAATACTACACAAGTCAAAACAAGAGAACTACATTTTAGCCTCTCTTAGTTGAAAACAGTAAGTCCCAAAAGATTACATACAGTGCAATATTCTTTTTATAAAGTTAACACCCAACTAAAACCAATAGATAGAGGATGGATGGATGGATAGATGGATGGATGGATAGATGGACAGACTCTTTCGAAAAGCCTATAGATGAGATAAAACTATCCTAAAAGGAAAGCAAGAGAGCGATGAATATGGATACAGAGCCAT